TTTATTATTTCAAGAAAAGTAAAAATGCAACTGAAACACACACAAAAATTGTGCAGTGTATGGAGAAGGTGCTGTGACTGATTGAACACATCAAAAGTGGTTTGTGGGGACTTCCCTGGTGGCACAGTGGTTAAGAATCCCCCTGCCAATGCAGGGGACACGGGTATGAGCCCTGGTCTGGGAGGATCCCACATGCCGCGGAACAGCTAACCTGGTGTGCCACAACTACTGAGCCTGCGTTCTAGAACCCATGAGCCACAACTACTGAGCCCCCATCCCACAACTACTGAAGCTCACATGCCTAAAGCCCGTGCTCCGAAACAAGAGAAGTTACTGCAATGAGAAGCCCACGCACTGCAATGAAGAGTAGCTCCAGCTTGACACAACTAGAGAAAGCCCACGCACAGCAATGAAGAACCAACGCAGCCAAAAATTAATTAATTAATTAATTAATTTTTTTAAAAAGTGGTTTGCGAAGTTTCATGCTGGAGATTTCTCGCTGGATGATGCTCCATGGTCAGATAGACCAGTTGAAGTTGATAGTGATAAAATCGAGACATTAATTGAAAACAATCATTATACCACGCGGGAGGTAGCCAACATACTCAAAATACCCAAATCAAGCACTGAGAATCATTTGTACCACCTTGGTTATGTTCATTGCTTTGATGTTTGGTTTCCACATAAGTTAAGCAAATAAACCTTTCTTGACCATATTTCCACATGTGATTCTCTACTGAAACATAACAAAAGCGTTCTGTTTTTAAAACAAATTGTGATGAGCGATGAAAAGTGTATAATGTACAATAATGTGGAAAGGAAGAGATCGTGGGGCAAGCAAAATGAACCACCACCAACCACACTAAAGCCTGGTCTTCATCCAAAGAAGGTGATGTGTATATGGTGGGATTGAAAGGGAGTTCTCTATTATGAGCTTCTTCTGGAAAACCAAACGAGTAATTCCAACAAGTACTGCTCCCAGTTAGACCAACTGAAAGCAGCACTAGACAAAAACATCCAGAATTAGTCAACAGAAAATGCATAATCCATCAGGATAACCAAGACCGCATGTTTCTCTGATGATCAGGCAAAAACTGTTACAGCTTGATTGGGAAGTTCTGATCCATCTGCCGTATTCACCAGACATTGCACCTTCAGATTTGCATTTATTTCAGGCTTTACAAAATTCTCTTAGTGGAAAAAATTTCAATTCCCTGGAAGACTGTAAAAGGCACCTGGAACAGTTCTTTGCTCAAAAAGATAAAAAGTTTTGGGAAGATGGAATTATGAAGTTGCCAGAAAACTGGCAGAAGGTAGTGGAGCAAAAGGGTGAATATGTTGTTCAATAAAGTTCTTCATTTCAAAAAAATGAAAAATGTATCTTTTATTTTTACTTAAAAACCAAAGGTACTTTTTGGCCAACCCAATATGTAGGAAGGGGCATGGAGTTTCCATGCTCTCTCCAGGTGTGCCACTCTCCCAGAACCTCCATGTGTTCACCAACCCAGAAGCTCTCCAAAATCCATAGTTTGAAGATTTTTATGGAGGCTTCATCCTATAAGCATGACTGGTCATTAACTCTATTTCCAGCCCCTCTAACCCTCTAGAGAATGGAAGGGTGAAGATTCTAAGCTTCTAATCATGAGTTGGACTTTCTGGTGACCAGCCCCAATCCAGGAGCCCACCAAGAGTCATCTCATTAGAATAAAAGATGCTCCTATCATCCAGGAAATCCCAAGGGATTTAGAAACTTAGGAACGGGGATCAAAGACCAAATATTAGAACTAAGGATGATCCTAGTGCTCTTATCACTTAGAAAATTACAAGGGTTTTAGGAACTCTGTGCCAGGAACTGGGGCAAAGGCCAATATATATTTTCTATTATTTCACAACATATATAAGGAACCATCACAGTGTCAAAGTATGCATATTTAGATAACAAAAATGTAAAGAAACACAAGAAGTGAAACTGTAAAAGTCAGGAAAGCAGTTTAAATTTGTGAGGAAGAAAGAGGTTGTAATTATGATTGGGGGCATAGAGGAACTTATAGGGTGGCTGGAAAAGTTTTAATGTCTTGAGCTAAGTTAGTTGCAACAGTGTTTATCTTAAAACAGATTATATTCATAATATACAATATGTAATAATTATTATTAGCTACGGATTTGTTTGGTATAGTTTTTAACTATAAGCACTTTACAATAAAAAGGTTATTTTAAGTGTTACCTGTTACAGATAGAGAACTAATGGTTACCATAGGGGAGAGGGAAGGGGGTTGCAGTTAGGGGTAGGGGATTAAGAGGTACACTATTATGTATAAAATAAGTTACAAGGATATACTGTACAACACAGGGAATATAGCCAATATTTTATAATAACTACAAATGGAGTATAACCTTTAAAAATTGTGAATCACTCTATTGTACACTTGTAACTTATATAATATTGTACATCAACTATACTTCAATAAAAAAGTGTTATATATTAAAGAGGGTTTAAATAAAGCAGTGTTTAACATTTTGAAGTTAAAAGGTAGAATATAATGAAGTAATGACCCTGGCATTTTGTATAGCTCACTATCTAATTAGAGATAATTTCAAACTTCAGTGAATATTTGAGTAATAGTACCCTTGTTTGAGTAAAGATACATATTGGTGACTATATTTAAGTGAAAATCTCTTATTTAAATGAATAATTTCCATTACCTTTAAAAAATCATTGTATTTGAATTACATATGCATGCATTATTGTCATGGGACTATCAAGCTGGGGGGTTGTTACAGAATGAATTATTTGTGTCCTCCCAAAATTCATATGTGGAAACCTAATCTCCAATGTGATGGTATTTGGAGATGGGGCCTTTAGGAGATGACCAGGTCTCAAGGGTGGAGTCCTCATAAAAGGGATTAGTGCCTTATAAGTTAGACCCCAGGGAATTCCGTGGTGGTCCAGTTAGGACTCAGCGCTTTCACTGCTAAGGGTGTAGGTTTGATCCCTGGTTGTGGAACTAAGATTCCACAAGCAGCACTGAGCAGCCAAAAATAAAAAATATATAAATAAATAGAGACCCCAGAGAACTCCCTCTGCCCCTTCCGCAAGGTAAGCCCACAGTGAGAAGACATCTATGAATTAGGAAACAGGGTCTCACCAGACACTGAATCTGCTAGTGCATTGACCTTGCAGCCTCCAGAACTGTGAGAAATAAGTTTTGGTTGTTTAAGCCACCCAATGTATGGTATTTTTGTTATAGCAGCCTGAATGGACTAAAACAATGGGGATTATGAAATATCACTTATCCATCTCCTTTTTTCAGATCAGAACTGCATGGAAATTATTTCAAAATAATATTTGACTCTTCTTCTTTCCCTTTCCTTAAGCTTTTTCCATCTGCTCACCTTTCTCCCACTCTTATCTCTTCTTCCTTTCTACTCTTTCAAAATACCAGGAAGCTAACTAATGACCCTTAAGCTTTAGGGGCCCCACTTGTACGAGCCCTTGCAAAGGTCTAGTAGGGTCCCTAGGAATGTGTCTACTTGGGTATGTTTTTGTAAGGTCTGCATAAGTAAGAGACTTTGACTACAAGTGATCAAGACTCTTCCCCCTTAGTCATGTATCCCCTCATATCTGGTGGCATTGAGTGGCTGTAGGGATTTTGAGGATTCAGCCACAATGAAGCTGAGTTGGGGATACAGTAGTTTGGGTTAGCAAGGCATATTTATTGGTTCAAAATCACTTCCACATCTAGATAATTTGTTGCTCCCTGTCCTGGTGTAGGAATGGCTTCTAGGAATACTTCACTGATTCATCCTACGAGGTGACATGAAGGGGTAGGGCTCAAGGTCACATCACTATGTAAAGATGTCTTATAGCAAATGATGCTGGAAGTACATGGATAGTGAAGGAGGTACACAACAGTAAGCAGAAGTTTCATGGGTGCCTAGTCAGAACAAAAGAAATATTCTCAGTAATGCAAAACATTCGACTATAAACACAAACTTTTCCTTTTTGGTGAGAGTCATACATAACAGAATTTATCAGAATTCCTGTATTAATAACCTATGTTTATTATATTAGCTTTCTTTTCTCATTTCTTTTCTCATGATTTCCCATTCTAAATAATCACTTTTATACCTTAAAAATAAATAAATAAAGGGCAGCTATGCCATATATAAGTGTTTCAATGGTATTCCCAATACTATATCTTCCTGATGTTTATTTTTATTTTGTCTTGTACAATAAGAACATTTGGGCTACTTTGAGAAAGAGCAAGGAAGCATTTATGCAGCAGATCCTTTTTGGAGAGAAGAATAAAGGTAACAAAGTATTTATTTATTGCCAGTAGAGCTCTTTTTTTTTTTTTTTTTTTTTTTTTGCGGTACACGGGCCTCTCACTGTCGTGGCCTCTCCCGTTGTGGAGCACAGGCCCCGGATGCGCAGGCTCAGCGGCCATGGCTCACGGGCCCAGCCGCTCCGCAGCATGTGGGATCTTCCCGGACCAGGGCACGAACCCGTGTCCCCTGTATCGGCAGGCGGACTCTCAACCACTGCGCCACCAGGGAAGCCCTAGTAGAGCTCTTAATGAGGTATTTTCTCTGCAAAAATGAGGGAGAGGTGGTGGGCTGTAATATTCCTCTGACCTTAATTTAGCAAAAAGAAGGCCCTTTATTTTACTTCTTTATTTTTCTTACTTTAAGCAGAATAAAGGCACTAACTAGAACCATGCTGGGTGAACAAAGTTATAAGCAGATATTTTTCTACCTTTAGGCCACATTGAAACAAACATACTATCTGAAGAAGAAAATTAGGTACTATAAAATCAAATTGAAATATATATTCCTTAAGCACATTTTAAATATAATAATTAAGTGCCCAGGCCACTTAGAGTAAAAACTATTGTATCTTTCCTCAAAGGATAATTTTTATTTCAATCATAGTTTCAACTTGGATGTTAACTTTCACCATTTTCAGGGCTGACTTTAACATCTGAATACAACCATCAAACCTGTACTTGTGGTGGTAATGAATATATATAGGCTGCCTGGAGGTCTAAGTATGAACTAAATAACTTGGCATATTCTGGATGCTTCAGGGCAAAGTTCTTAAAGGTCCTGTATGAAATGTACTCTGATTTCTGTCCAGCTATCTCCCGAAAGAGTCTGGAAACATCAAGATTTGTCACTCCAAAAGCTGCCTGAAGTATAGCAGCTAACTCCTGTTCGGTTATGAAACCATCATTATCAAGATCAAAAAGCTTAAATGACATGTGCAGAATCTTTTCAGTGTTGGCAGGATTGCATAGGACAGTCAGACCTATCACATACTCTCTGAAGTCTATGCTGCCATCATTATTCCTGTCAAAGAGGGCAAAAAGTTGTCTCAAGGGCTCTGAAATTGGGAGTTTCAAATAATTCGCCAACTCTGTAATTCCTATCTTCCCTCCTTTTTTTTTTTTTTTTTTTTTTTTTTTTTTTTTGCGGTACGCGGGCCTCTCGCTGTTGTGGCCTCTCCCGTTGCGGAGCACAGGCTCCGGACGCGCAGGCTCAGCGGCCATGGCTCACGGGCCCAGCCGCTCCGCAGCATGTGGGATCTTCCCAGACCGGGGCACGAATCCGTGTCCCCTGCATCGGCAGGTGGACTCCCAACCACTGCGCCACCAGGGAAGCCCTCTTCCCTCCTTTTGAGGCAGCTGCAATTGCAGCATATTCATCCAAACACTGATGAATATTATCCCAATCTAACTTTAATTTCTGGCTAATTTTCGTAAATTCAACCAAACCGGCTTCCATGGGTAGTCGAAGGTTACCTGCAGAAATCATCAGTCTGCAATCTTCATAAGTGTGGTCTGTCACAGGCGCCCCAAGAGCATTGGCCATGATGATCCTCACTGTATTGGCAAAAAGGACGGGGTCTTTTTTTTCTCGGTCATTTGGGATATAAACGGGCATAAACTCAACTTCTACCCTAGTGAAGAGTTGACTCAGGGTCAATATACAGGTCTGGAAGCCTGTAAACCCCTGCCAGGTCCAGGTCACGGTGTCCAGGGTGTTTGGGTACCTGAGCAGCACTGGCTGCACAGAACACCTGGAGAGAAGGCCCCTAGTTTAAAGGTGACCAGACAGCTGCGGTTGGTACACACTCCTTCCAGGAAAATCAGGATCTGTGGCCACTTCCTATGAGATGTCACTGGCCTCAGGATTTCCTCCCGGGTATTCTTCCACGAATTGGGGTAATCTCAGGTCTCAAGCACCGGCTGCGTTGACAGTAAGAATTTCCCAGCGACAGAGATACGCACGTTTTGACTCGCGGAGACCACCGAGGGGAACCCTGCCACGACACAGGCGACTGCATCAAAGAAACTGGAGTGCGGTGCTGCAACGAAGATGTGGGCCTCGTCTCGGGTTGCCTTTTTCCCTTTCCCTTTAACCAGGAACCCTGCTGAAAAAAAAGTCACCTGAAACAAGAACTTGAGAGTTGGCTGCACCAGTCTTCTTCTCCAACTCCTGGCGGGCTTGGTTGGTCGAGCACGACGACCTATGGTGGAAAGCGCAGCCACCGGCCAGAGGAAGATGAAGAGGATGGCGATGCAGGGCATGCGCACCGGCACCAGCACAGCCCCCATGAGGACGATGTAGGCCCAGCGCCACACGCTGATGTGTGTCTGCTGCGTGAAGGGGTTGTCCACTGCCGGTGGGTACAGGGACTTGCTTGTGTCTTGGCTGAGGGTGGATTCCGACACCGCAGCCTCGGAGTCCGAGGTGGGCTGTGCCATGAAGCCCACTATTCCTTAGTCTCAGGACGCCTGTAGCTTGGATCTGGGGGCGGCCCCCGGAGTATACCCCTGCCCCATATTTAAGTGCTCTTTCCGTTCGCACATAATTAGAACTCTTTGAGGCAATTGTGGGTTAATAGAAAATGATATATTACCTTTAAAGTCAGAAAAATCAAAAATGGTAAATGATGTAACAGGAGAATTAGAATCATATCAACAGCACAATCTTTTCCTTTTTGTAAATGGCCTCCTTCTGACATATATGCTTAATAAATTATTTTCACATAATTTCTGAAATTTACATTAAGCATATTTATATACCTACTAAGGATGAATTAAATAGATGAATATTTATTAATCACAATTTTTAAATTTAAATGCCATTACCAGTCAAGTTTACTTACAGTGAGATGCTTTGGCAGTTGGTAAGTCAAATTCATTTACTCTTCCTACAAATGGATCTCTTTATGCTAAGAGATCTAACTGATGGCAACCTTGAGCCTTTATATCTGTTACAAGTACTCTTCTACATCCACTGAAAATTAGAATACATCCATTATCATAGGCCAGGATTAGCCGTGGCACGTTTTGATGCGTATTGTTAATATTAGTCCAGATGAACTGGTCAGCATTCCAAACAGACATGAGTAACAACAACGAGAAACCTTAAAATCACCTTTGTCAGAAACACATTTTCATTAAAATAAGTCAGGATTACTTCATTGCGTCACCACACACGGTCAATAAAGTCTTATTCCTTCCTTTGTTGCTGCCCTTTGAAAATGACCAAGAGGGAAGCATATCCCTGGTGGCGCAGTGATTGAGAGTCCGCCTGCCGATGCAGGGGACACGGGTTCGTGCCCTGGACCGGGAAGGTCCCACATGCCGCCGAGCGGCTGGGCCCGTGAGCCATGGCCGCTGAGCCTGCGCGTCCGGAGCCTGTGCTCCGCAATGGGAGAGGCCACAACAGTGAGAGGCCCGCGTACCGCAAAAAAATAAAAAATAAAAAAAAGAGGGAAGCATAGTTAAAGTTGGTGTGAACAAGGCTCTCTGCTAAACCTTGTAGCATTTGCTGTATCAAATATTCCTGTTTGTTAATTTAAATTCCTCCAAATTAAAAGTTAAATTTTAAGTTTCTGAAAGATGTTTCTAATTATTGGAACACAGCAGGTTACCCATAAAACAGAAAGAGCAGTGTGGATACCAAAGCCGGTTAAACAGAATGTGATCTAAGTGGAAAGATTATGGGCTTTACAACCAGATGGATCTAGGTCAGATCCTGGTTCCAACCTGTGGGCACTGGCCAATCTCATTTTCACATCTGTAAAGTGGTGATACTCCCTACCTTGTGATGTTATAAGGCACAAGTACTCCCTACCTTGAGATGTTATGAGGCACAAGTACAATGTACATAGAAAACTGGGCTTTTATTGGTAAATACACGTTGCTAGGATACAATGATGAGAATTCTTAGGGACATTCCACTTTCTTCTGTCACTATCAGAACTATGCTTAGTGAGGGAAACATTCCTTTCACCAGCTTAGTCTTATTTGGGAACACAGTTGTAGTCTCTAAGGAGCCATGATTTGGCAGTGTTACTGGTTGTATCCCATGCCAGATGAGAGCAACCCAAAAGAATGAGTAGTAATCCCTTGAGTTAGTCTCATCCTCTATTCTGTAATTCTTCCTGCCATTTTTTTTTTTTTTTTTTTTGGCCACGCCGTGCAGCTTGTGGGATCTTAGTTCCCTGACCAGGGATTGAACCCGGGCCTAGCAGTGAAAGGGCCAAGTCCTAACCACTGGACAGCCGGGGAGTTCCCTTCCTACTCTTATCTGTAAGGCTCATTAATACTTTTTAACGCTTGTTTGATTTAACTGCATTCTGTATATCGTTCTTAAGGGAAAGATCAACATTACCATGTCATCTTTCTTTCATATTTCCCGCACAGTGCCTAGCAGTGTATCAAATATATTATTTATTCATTTAGCAAATATTTGAGCTCCCACAATGAGTCAGGCTCTTATTCTAGATGCTGGATATATGTCAGTTAATAAAGCAAAAATCTCTGCCCTGTGGAGCTTAGATTCTAGTGCACATAGGAAGTACAGTATTCAATCCTTGTTGCATTAAATGGGGCAAAAGCACATTTTGATCTTTTTTCTAAATCTCTCACCAATTTAGCTGAAGAATTAAGGCAAGTAATTTAATGGATGTGCTTCCCTACAATGTTTAATAAATATATATGTATATATAGAATCTTCATATCCTCTTTTGTTACTCTTCCCAGTGTAAATAGTATTTATGGCCTATTTTAAGATGCACATTCATCTTGTCATATCTGCCTTAAAACTAATAAATATACTATAAATCCAAGAGATTTGATAATAGAATTTTTTAACGGTGAAAAAATAGTAAAAAGAACTTTGGAACAATAAAATAACAATTTATACGATTGCAGTTTTGCCTTTTAATATGGCACAGCTAATCTTTAATATACATTTGTGAAAGGCACCATATATTAACAGGGTAAATAACACGAAAAACCAAAACTGAGCCACTTTCTCCAACTTCCTTTTTGTACAAGTGTGTACATTTTAAGGCAGATGCTTTTCTGTGCAAAATACAACAAGAAAAAAAACAACATTATGTTACAAGTTCACACATTCTCAGATTTTTCTCGATGTCATTTGTCAGGATATTTATTTATGGTAAAGCATATTAAAACAATTTTTCCTAATGAAGCTTAAAGAAGTTGATGAACAATTTAAAAAAATTATTTACAGATTTCATTACAGACTCGTCACAGAAAAAGCCAGTCTTTTCTCCTTGTTTCTTCTTTTAGAAATGTCCATATCAATTTGTTCACTATGTCAGGTTGTTCTTGCTGGAGCCCGTGACTGGCTTCTGACAAAATAGTTAGCCTGAAATAGTTCTTAACGTAAATCTTTGTGCCTTCAGCCATCTCAGCCTCCATAAATGCGTCTTTCTCTCCCCACAGTAGTAGTGTTGGAGTGATCACCATGTGATGTTTGAGAGGCAGGCAGCTATAAAAACAAAACACGTGGGCTTGAGACTCACTGTAAACATTAAAATAACATTCCCCCAAAATGTTTCTTTAGGCCACAGATTTTTAAGGAGGGTAATATCACCACCAAAGGGATGAAAATTTGTTCTTGGGAGAGTGAAAAAAAAATTATGCTTTTTATATATAAACCATGAGTATACACACAGTACATAAACAGATATTAAAATTTCATGGGGTGGGGGGCAATTAGGAAAAAAAAATGCCTAAAAAGGCTCTGAAGGGAGATGATGACGAAAAACATGGTTGAGAAACACTGCATTAGGCAATCAATCTGTACAATAAAAAAATTAATGGTCTATTTAAGAAAGGGCAAGATAAAAGTTTTAATTGGATCAGCCATGCAAAACTTATAATGCAGGCTATGAAATTCATCACTATGAAGAATAATTTGCTTCAAAAAGATAACAGAATTTCTGAATAGTGTGATGAAAGGGAGCTTTAAACAGTGTTACTGTTTAAACGTATTTCAATTATTTGTTGGATAATCTAATGCATTTTATGTGAAAATTGGAACCGAAAAGTCAGAAAATATATACGGAATGAGCCTTAATCCTACATGATACTTTATTTATTTCGCAAGAAGATTCTTTTTAAAATATAAAGTTTTTATTGTGTATTTTTTAAATACAGAAAAGTATAAAGAATAAAATCATGCATAATTCCATCCTTAAAAAATGGTCATTTTCTATGCATATCGTTGAAACCATAAGTACAATGCAGTAAATATACACAGTTTATACACAGTATACACATGCAAATTTCATATTAAATTATAATAACTTTCTTGTTTCATATAGTTTTTCAAAAATAATTGTAAAACATACTATTTTATGGCATAATAACCCATAAATGACTGTTCCTGTATAATTGAATATTTAGATTATAGCATCACTTAAAAGAAGGGGATGTTTGGTGTTTTTTTTTTTTTGCGGTACACGGGCCTCTCACTGTTGTGGCCTCTCCTGTTGCAGAGCACAGGCTCCAGACGTGCAGGCTCAGCGGCCATGGCTCACGGGCCTAGCCGCTCCACATCATGTGGGATCTTCCCGGACCGGGGCACGAACCCGTGTCCCCTGCATCGGCAGGCGGACTCTCAACCACTGCGCCACCAGGGAAGCCCAGGGATGTTTTAAGTGATGCTGCAATTAGCATTTTGTGCCCAAATCTTCGTTGGCATTTCAGATAACTTCTTTGGGCTAGAGCCCTGGAAGTGGAATCCCTGAGCTGAAGAGGATACATATTTTTAAAGCTTTTGACAACTTCTGCTAAGCTGTTTTTCAGAAAGGCGGGATGGTATTAATTACACCCCTGTTAACTAAGAATGAGAAGGAACATCTAACTAGACACTCTCCAGCACTGAATTACATTTTTGCTAGTTACAAAAAAGCTTGACTTGTGGCTACTTGGGGTTCATAAAATGCTGCTGGAATATGAAGGATATCACATATGTCCACCAAGGTCTTAACTTTTGATTCCCATGCAAGTGGCCATCATTTGGTTCTAATGCTCCTAAAAATTGAGTTCTTGGTGAATGGGTAAACTGATATAAAAATATATCTATACTTAATTATTGATACATGGATTGCTATACAAACTTGCAAGTCACTTAAATTCTGGAGCTCATAAAGTGTTCCAAAACAAAACATTTTCTAATAGTTACCTGCATATTTAACAACATGTGAGCGTGTAATAGTTGAATCAGTAAGGAAAGGGGACTATTAGTCCCTATTAAAAGGACTATTAGTGAAAAAGTAAAGAGGAATATAAATTCTTCACCAGATCGAATTGAGGGTAAAAGGGAGGAGTTTTCAGAAAATTAAAAGAAAAACATATTCTCTGGTCCTGAGGTTTCAAATTGTTAAATATCACATGAAACGTAAGTTACAGATAAAACAAAGTATGTACAGATAGGTGACTGTAGTTAATACTGTATTACATATTTGAAAGTTGCTAAGAGAGTAGATCTTAAAAGTTCTCATCCCAAGAAAAAAAATTATAACTATGTATGGTGACAGATGATTAACTAGACTTACTGTGGTGATTATTTTGCAATACATACAAATATCAAATCATTATGTTGTACACCTGAAACCAATATAATGCTATATGTCAATTATACTACAGTATAAAGAAAGAAAGAAAGAAAACAAAGAAAAACATTAAATATTTTAAGAGAGTAGGTTTTAGTATACTAAGCTAAAGAACTTAATGGAAAATACTTGACAAAATAATTCTTATTAAAAATAATCAGTAAATATAGTTCTGAAGAACCTAAGGGCAGGACAGGAATAAAGACGCAGATATAGAGAATGGACTTGAGGACACGGGGAGGGGGAAGGGTAAGCTGGGACGAAGTGAGAGAGTGGCATGGACATATATACACTACCAAATGTAAAATAGATAGCTAGTGGGAAGCAGCCGCATAGCACAGGGAGATCAGCTCCGTGCTTTGTGAGCACCTAGAGGGGTGGGATAGGGAGGGTGGGAGGGAGACACAAGAGGGAGGAGATATGCGGATATATGTATATGCATAGCTGATTCACTTTGTTATATAGCAGAAACTAACACACCATTGTAATGCCATTATACTCCAATAAAGATGTTAACAAAAATCAAATATTGGCTCTGTATGGAATTAATATTTTGTTTAGTTAAAAAGAACAAATTATACTGACCTGAAGATATTTCGGTAATGGTTGATTGGACCATTTAATGCTCCAGGTTGAGAAAAAACATAAATATAAGCTTCAAGATCTTCTGCTGTTAATCGACATCCTTTTCTTCCAATGCCAGTGCTGTGACTAGTAAACAGATGTTTCAAAGCCTGATAAGTGAGAAGAGAATAATTAAAACTCTTCAGTTGCCTAATAGTAACTAAATATTTGGCTTTTGAAAGAGAATGATGGTCAGTGTGCAGTGATAGCTCCCAGTTTCTGCTCTAGCCAGGTTGGAGACCTCATTGTTTACAAGCACATTTTATATATTTCTGCTTTCCTGGCTTTATTTTTGATATTATTCCCTTTTAATCCCCCATGGACACTTCACCCTTATGAAAAGTATCCTGTCTTCTTGGTGTCTCTTCACATTCTACAAGGCTGAGCTCAAGTACTATCCCTGCTCTAAAACCTGATATTCCAGTTAACAGTTTATCTATTTACTGACAACCAATCCACACACCTCCCCCTAAATTGTTTGAACTTCTTTTGATCACAACCTAGAGTAACAAACACATGTTACATCATGATCCAGTTCGTATCTCTACATATATATTTCTGAAACAAAAGTTTAAAGAAATAGCCCTTACACTTATTACAGCATGTAATGATATTTTCAATTCTGTTCTACTTTATTTTTAAAAACTCAAATTGCAAGCCACTTTACTGAGTTGCAAAACTTATTTCATGACTCACTAATGGGTCTCCACCTACAATTTGAAAAATACTGCTCTATACCAGCATTTCTCAAAGTGTGTCTCTAAACCACCTGAATCAGAATTATTGGGATTCTTGTTTAAAATTAGATCCCTCAACCCCAAAACACCCTTGCAAAAATATGAAATGACATGTGCAGGAGGTGATTCATTGAAACATTATTTGCAATAGAAAAAGAATGGAGGACTTCCCTGGCAGTCCAGTGGTTGAGACTCTGTGCTTCCACTGCAGGGGGCACAGGTTCGATACCTGGTTTGGGAACTAGGATCCCTCATGCCCCGTGGTGCAGCACAGCCAAAAAAAAATTTTTAATTAAGAAAAAAAAAAGAATGGAAACAAATGTCTGTGGGGGGTTGGATGAATAAACTATGGTATAGGTACATGATGGTGAATTATGTGTTCTTAGTACTCTAAGAGCAGATGGAGATAATCTCTATGCTGATGATGGAGTCATCTGCAGGGTATATTGTCAAGTGGAAAAAAAGCAAGGGTAGAAATAGTGTTTATAGTATGTTATCTTTTGTGTGAGAAAGAAAAGATAAATATATATATATATATATATATTTGCTTATATTTTTAAAAGAAACAATAAAAAGAGGAAACAAAACTAACCAAAATGGTTTTCGATGGGAGACAGAATAGGATGGAGACAGAGAAACAGAGGAAACAGAGACAAGTGAGACTTCTCTGAATGTACCTTGTTTTAGAGTTTTGACTTAGAACCATATAATGTTTTATATAAAGTCATAGAAGTTAAGTGAAAACCTGTCATCTTAAATTTGCTTTGGAAATGTGAATAAGAGCTCATAATTTTTTTCTAAAATATATGTATGTCTACATTCTGTCCAATGGAAAGATCTAGAAGCAATGAAAACTCAGTAACAATGATCACCTTGACACCCAAACTGTGGTCTCTAAATACCATTCCCTACTAATAGGAGCCAGAGTTCATTCAATAAATGACTGATTCCAGATCTGGAACGGGAAAAGTATGATGAACTTAGGACATTAAGGAAGCAATCTATTCCCTGACTAAAAAATGATGAACTTAGGACATTAAGGAAGCAAGCTATCCCTGACTAAAGGGCTCCTGTGTCAAGAGGACATAGGAGCCAACCTGAAGGAGTTCACACTTGCAACAATTTGGGCATCAAAGAGAATAATGACTGTAATCAATTGATAAATATCAAATATATTTTTAAAAATCATGAGCTCATAATGATATGAAAAAAAAAACCCTCATTGGTTATCAGTGGAGGTTTCTAGGGCACCAATTCATTACTCTGGAAGTTGTTTACAAAGGGAAATAATGAAGCATTTGTCCTGCCATTCTTGTGGGAACTGTATTTCAGAATAACCGAATATAGATGTGGAAATTCTCCTTTATACATGAATTCCAGTTAATAAAAGCAGAAAGAATAATATTGGGTTGGCCAAAAAGTTCGTTCAGATTTTTCCATAAGATGGCTCTAGTAGCACTTAGTTGTCTTTAACTTTACTCGAAACAATTTTGTTGTATTGTGACTGCTGTCATACTAGCATGCATTAAAAAAAAACTTATCAAAACTGGTGAATTTTTGTGTAGCCATTTTAATATTGAAGATGAAGAAAAAAAGCAACATTTTCGGCATATTATGTTTTATTTTTTTTTATTTTTTTATTTTTTGCGGTATGCGGGCCTCTCACTGTTGTGGCCTCTCCCGTTGTGGAGCACAGGCTCCGGACGCGCAGGCTCAGCGGCCATGGCTCACTGGCCCAGCCGCTCCGCGGCATGTGGAAAAAAAGGAACATTTTCGGCATATTATGTTTTATTATTGCAAGAAAGGTAAAAACGCAACCGAAACTCAAAAAAAGATTTGTGTAGTGTACGGAGAAGGTGCGGTGACAGAGCGAACGTGTCAAAAGTGGTTTGAGAATTTTCTTGCTCGAGATTTCTCGCTGGACGATGCTCCATGGTCGGGTAGACCAGTTGAAGTTGACAGTGATCAAATCGAGAAATTAATTGAGAGCAATAAACCACGAGTTATACCACACAGGAGATAGCCGACACACTCTAAATATCCAAATCAAGCGTTGAAAATCATCTGCACCACCTTGGTTATGTGAATCGCTTTGATGTTTGGGTTTCACATAAGTTAGGCGAAAAAAAACCTTGATCGTATTGCTGCATGCGATTCTCTACAGAAACGTAACAAAAATGTTCCGTTTTTAAAACAAATTGTGACGGGCGATGAAAAGTGGATACTGTACAGTAATGTGGAATGGAAGAGACCAAAGGCTGGTCTTCATCCAAAGGTGATGTTGTGCATATGGTGGGATTGAACGGGAATCCTCTATTACGAGCTCCTTCTGGAAAACCAAACAATTCCAACAAGTACTGCTCCCAATTAGACCAACTGAAAGTGGCACTCAACAAAAAGCATCCGGAATTACTCAACAGAAAACACATAATCTTCCATCAGGATAACCAAGGCCGCATGTTTCTTTGATGACCAGGCAAAAACTGTTACAGCTTGGCTGGGAAGTTCTGATTCATCATCTGTATTCACCAGACACTGCACCTTCAGATTTCCATTTATTTCGGTCTTTACAAAGTTCTCTTAATGGAAAAAATTTCAATACCCCGGAAGACTGTAAAAGGCACCCAGAACAGTTCTTTGCTCAAAAGGATAAAAAGTTTTGGGAAGATGGAATTTAGAAGTTGCCTGAAAAATGGCAGAAGGTAGGGGAACCAAAGGGTTCAGTAAAGCTCTTGGTGAAAATGAAAAACGTGTCTTTTATTTTTCCTTAAAACTGAAGGAACTTTTAAGGCATCCCAATAGAATAAAAAATCACTGTTTTCTAAAGAAATAATGAACCTAGGCAGTGACGATCAAGGTATGCTAAAGTTATTTGTTGAAAAGTTGGTTGTTAGGCAATTTGGATAGGCTGACAATTTGTGAGCCCACTGGTTAGTGTTAGCATTACTAAAACTGGGACAGCTAGGCATTATGTGCTTCCCTGATGTGATGCATTAGGAAATACACAGAACCACCTATAAAATATTCTTGTCAAATTAAACTTCAGTCTAATCAAGCCTCTAGATCAGTAGCACCTATGAAGTAGGAAAGACAAGGCTTAGCACAACTAGTTAAATAACACCATGATGAAGCAGTCAGTCAAATCCAAAATGTGGACCATTCCTCAGGGCAAATGAACAAATTTCTTCTTAAAAAAGTGATGGTAAAAAACAAAAGGAAAGAACCGTTCAAAATTTTAAAAGGCATAACAAACAAATACAATATGTAGACCTTGTTTGGTTCCTGATTCAAACAAATAAAGTGTATAAAGACAGTTGAGACAATTAAGAGAATTTGAATGGGCATTAAATGATTTTAACAAGTTGTTCATTTTGTTAGCTTTGATAATGGCATCGGAGTTATGTTCTTTTTTTTAAAAAGTCCTTATTGTCAGAGGTACATGCAGAAGTATTTCCAGGTAAAATAATATTATGTCATTTTTTAACCTCCCTAAATATTTAACAGAATGCTGGACAAACAAGAAGCAACTAATTAACTTCAAAGAAACAGATACTACATATGACTCCTGGTGTCAGTGTATATGGTACACCAATACCTGCAGGCTTAATTTTGTTTGGGGGTTTTGTTTACTCCCAAGGGCTTCCACTTCTGCTGTTGTCAAATTCTCTTACCTGGCATTCATATTCTTTCATCTCCCCATGGAACATTCTCTAGAAAGAAGTATGCCTGTAGGGGAACAGGCTCTCAGAAAAAATTAAGTTAACAGCCAGGCACTCAAACATACGAATAGAGACTGTAAAAATAAGTAAGCCTATCGATGAAGCCTTAGAAACATTTATTAAGTTTTAGCATTTGTCTGTTTTTCTTTTCCCTTTTTTTTTTTGGCAGCACTGAAAGGCTTTTGGGATCTTAGTTCCCCAACCAGGGATTGAACCTGTACCCCCTGCAGTGGAAGGGTGGAGTCCTAACCACTTGGATCATCAGGGAATTCCCTGTTTTTCTTTCTTAGAGATGGATTTTAATTTAAAATGTTTCTCATTAACATTATTTGTTTGACTTATTTTTTTGCATAGGAGGAAATGCCTAACAATGCATAACACATAACAGATGTACAATAAATGATTATTTAAAATAAATCAGAACAACATAAGCAGAACCGGTTTTCTTGGGTTTTTTGTTTGTTTTTAGTGTTTCAGTCTATGTTTTATTTTTGACCTCCTAATTTTGTCATCCTCTTGGGCACCAGTCTTTCTTTTTTTAATTGAGGTATAATTGACATATAACGTTATATTGGTTTCAAGTGTACAACATACTGATTCAATATTTGTATATACTGCAAAATGATTACAGACAGTAAGTCTGTAACATCCATCACCATGTTTGACTTACCTTGAAATCATTTATGGAAAACATAAATTCTGGGAACCATGGTATTTGGAAGAAATAATAATAGCTGGATTTGAACAGCTGGGCAGGGTGTCGTAAAATATATTCTGAAATTAAAATACCATGTTAGACCTTATCCAAGGGGTATGAATTACTTACTATTGAAATAACTTCTTTTTAAGGCAATTTCACCTTTGAGATGATCCCATAAAAGAATCTACAAATAAGGCTTCTGTATATTTCTCTTTGGAACAATTTCTATGTTCTTATATTTTATTTTGGATATTTTTTGTATTTTAAATACTTAAAGCACTTTAAATAAGAAGAAAGTTCCACTTTATGAAGTGTTGACTCAGAAAGGAACAGGAAACCCAAAATAACACTCCCTTTTCTCCAAGGTCATTATCAGTGACCAAACACTTTTCCTAAGGATACATGGGGAAGTAATTTTCCCTTGTTGAAAAGATCTTCCTTCCAGGCTGATTTGAATATCTTATTCATATGGCCTCAACAGAAAGTAAAGCCTTTCCATTAAATTCATTCATGTATTGAGAAAATTCATCCATTCAATGAATCTTTGAATATCTACTGTGTGTGAGGGGATTTAGCATTGAACAAGAGAAAAGAGGTTCCCATTCATAAGGAACATACATAATAAATAAGTAATGAATACTTAAAAGATCATTTTAGTTAGCAAAAATACCATAAAGAAAATAAAACAAGGTAATCTGATTGAAAGTAATGGTTGGGTGGTGTGGAGGGACTATCCTTTAGTAAAGGTGGTGGAACAGGTTTCTCTGGGGATGTGGGATGAGACTTGAACGCAAAGATCTAGGAAGAGCATCAAGAACAGAAAGTAGGTACTGGGCTTGGCACGTTCAAGAAGCAGAAAGAAGGCCAGTGTGGCTGATATGTAGTGAATGAGGAGGGGGAGATGGTATGAGATGAGTTTCAGAAAGAAAAGCAGAAACCCAGTCAGGTAAGGCCAGAATGATAAAGATTTTTAAGTGTTTTGGGAAGACAAAAGTTTTAAACTAGGCAGTAATGTGATCATACATATTAAATGTACATATTTGTTGTGTATTGTGTACTATACTTTTATTTTCCTTGCTATAGAGGTGATTGTTTTTTCTTATTTCTAATTGTGTAACTGTATTCAACATGGTTGGAGTTTTTAGAATTATGATTCTCAGGTAAGTGGAGCACTGTTGTGCTATACTTTTTGTAAAGTCATCATCGAATAAGATTTATTCAGCTCCGCATCAAGAGATATCAATACAGTTAAGGGAAAATATAGTCATATTACTTGAAGACTTCATATTAACCTGACCAGGGTTGAACCTATTATTGATAAGATAGTTCCAGAAATATCCAAGTATTTTCTTACTGAAATGACCAATTACAGTTTGTCCATATAGCAGCACCAACAAAATAACATTTACTCTAGGGTCCTGATCAATTGAACAAGCATGTAGCACAACTTCTATTGTCTAACGCAACTGAGAGAAATATGATGAACCTCAGTTTGATATTTGATTCCTAAGCAGCCATGCTATTACCTCAGCTGAGATAGGACAATTGAATATGTATCTGAAATTTAACTTTTATACTTATACAGTATTTATGTAGTCATGTTCCCTTTCTCCCTCACCTACTTTAATTTTGAGGAGGAAATAAAAATATGTTTTTCTGAATTTTTTGTTCCCTGGAGGGCTACTATGGGTCATGACAGTACTGAACCTCAGAAAATTTGACAAGGGTAGTTAAAGCGGACAAAATTATAATTTTTGTCAAAACCAAATAAAAATGTGCCTAGCCATTGTTCACAGGTTTTTTTGTTTGTTTATTTGTTTTTAATCACTCTTAAGATTAAGGGTTCTCTTTATAGCAGAGGTTCTCAGTCCATGTGGACCCCTGGGGATCCTTAAGACCCCTTTAAAGGATACAGATGGTCAAATTATTTCAAAACAATACAATTAGCTTTTCTCATTTTGCCGACATTTGCACAGATGGTACAAAGGCAATAGTAGATATAGCCATTGCTGCCTGAGCACAAATCAAGGCGGTGACACTAAACAATACCAGCAGTCATTGTATTCTTCACCACCACACACTTGCTGTAAACAAACAAGTACATAAATCCATAAAATTAAGTGGCGGTTTCACTTAAGAAGGTCTTGGATGAAATAGCAAAAATTATTAATTTTATTAAATTTCTACCTTTTTGTATACGTCTTTTTAACATTGTGATGAAATAGGAAATAAGGCAGTTCTGTTGAACACCCAAATACAATGATTGTCTCGAGGAAAAGCACTTCTGCAATTGTCTGATAAGTTGAACTAGCTGCATTTTTAATAGAACAACATTTTTACTTGAGAGAACGACTAACTATCATCAGTCAGATTGGGTATTTAACAGATAGTCTCTTGAAAATGAACAAAGTGAGCCTGTCACTTGAGGGAAAACAACCAACAGTGTTTGTTGTCAATGATGAAGTTCAAGCTTTCAAATGAAAATTAGAATTTTGGAAACTTGTGTCTGCTACTGTGAGCTTGACAGCTTTGCAAAGGCTTTTTTGATGCAACTGGGGTGATATTAATGAACACGATTTGATAGCATATAATGAAATGTGTCAACTTATGGAAGATCTGCATAACTCAATGAACCAATATCTTCCAATGCGTGATGATTGCAAAATCATGCATAGGTAGAAAAAAAATCCATTATGCATTTTAATGTGACAGAGTACAAAAGGTTCATTAATATGACGTCAGATTCCACATTGTTACTAACCTTTAAGAAATAACTAATTTTTGAGTTTGGTGTAGTATTAAAGGAGAACATATGCAGTTATTTGAAAAGACTATTAAAATTCTCCTCCTTTTTCTAATTACAAATCTGTGTGAGGCCAGATTTCTTCATATACTTCAATTCAAACATCTGCAACAGATTGAATACAGAAGCAGCTATGAGAATCCAGCTGTCTTCTATTAAGCCAAAAATTAAAGAGGTTTGCAAAAATGTAAAACAATGACACTCCTCTCACTAAAATTTTGTTTTCGAAGATGTAGCTAGTTTTCAGTAAAATGTTTATGCTAATATGTACTGGATTAATTATTTTTAAAAAATGAATTAATACATAAACATTTAAAAAATTCTCATTTTTAATTTCCAATACAGTGAATGTTTATGGATATAACCCATATAAACAAATGCTCAATGGGGTCTTTAATAATTTTTAGGAGTATAAAGGAGACAAAAAATTTGAGAACCGCTGCTTTAAAGAATGCTGCCATTCCTGACAGCCAAAGGAGTCAGGCAAGAGGAAAATTTATTTCTAGGCTGTCAAGATTCATTACTGTCAAAGTAATGTTACTGCATTTTCCCTTTAACTCTTTAACTCTCCCTAAGTTAGCAGTAAAATGTTTTCTAAAAAGAAATAAAATTATGCAAGCAAATATAAAGCAACACTTCCTGTGACTCTTCAGGAATATTTAAAGCTGAGATAGCTGACATTATCATGTGATAATATCATATTTTAGTCATTTAATTTAAAAAAATATTATGTTAATCAACTTTTGCTGTTTTTAATCCGTGTCAGTGACAATAGTGAATTGTCATGCTATGAAAGATGTCTTAAAGGAAATTTAAACTCACCTGTAAATACATTTGGATGAGGGAAGTTAATAACAATAAGCTTCATCACCATTTCAGGATAACAGATGGCAATTAGCCAAGCAATCATGCCTCCCCAGTCATGGCCAATAAGAACACATTTGCTATACCCTGTAATTGAGAAATGAATGTTGGCATCATTGAAAAGAAACAGGTGGGTACATCATTACCGCACATAAAATAGGTATGTTTCTAAAACTAATCTTTCTACTCTCCTACCCTAATTATGCACTTTGTGCAGACATTGCGTTTGGTGTTTCCAAAACCCTGTATGTCTGAATCACCTAGGGTAGCTTTTTAGAAAATTTAGATGCCCAGGATCCATTATAGACCTCAGAATCTCTCTTGGGAATTTATACTTTAAAAAAAAATTGGAAATAGTTTAGCTCTGGTCACATAAACCTGAGTTTGGAAAGCCATGGTAAAGACTACACATAATTAGGTCATAAGCAAGATTACATTATTCATTTAACTGGAAAATTTCATGATGACAAATTTAGCCAAGTTTGACTGAATTACCACAAAATGTGAAAGAAATATGGCTGTCGGAAATCAGTGTCTCTGAGTCTATTTTACTGTAATCACAGTAAATTACAACACTGCATTGACACCCCCAGACCTCATCCATTTTTTCCCCTCTAAGAATATTGACCTGATCTACGTTCTTATTAGATTGTTGTAGAAAAGGGTCTTTAATTTGATTTCATGGGTTTCTCACTATACTGGCTCTGTTAACATATCGATGGTAGCAGCTGGGTTTTAGTCAAAAGGGATATAGTGTATTAGATTATTGTTAAAAAATATTTACTCCTCCCCTCTCCCCACTGCCATAGAGGTAGTATACTTCACTGCTTCCCCCCCTTTTATTAATAAATTTATTTATTTATTATTTATTTTTGGCTGTGTTGGGTCTTCGTTGCTGTGCACGGGCTTTCTCTAGTTGCGGTGAGCAGAGACTACTCTTTGTTGCGGTGCGTGGGCTTCTCATTGCGGTGGCTTCTCTTGTTGCGGAGCACGGGCTCTAGGCACTCAGGTTTCAGTAGTTGTGGCATGTGGGTTCAGTAGTTGTGGCTCATGGGCTCTAGAGCACAGGCTCAGTAGTTGTGGTGCATGGGCTTAGTTGCTCTGCAGCATGTGGGATCTTCCCGGGTCAGGGCTTGAACCCATGTCCCCTGCATTGGCAGGTGGATTCTTAACCACTGTGCCACCAGGGAAGTCCCCCCCACCCCACCATTTTTCTGGCCATGCCAAAAGACAAGCGGGATCTTAGTTCCCCAGCCAGGGATCAAACTGTGCCCCCTGCAGTGGAAGTGCAGAGTCTTAACCACTAGACCACCAGGGAAGTTCCTTCACCACCCCTTTGATGTTTTGATGTTAAACTTGGCAGTGTGATCTGTTTTGGTTTTGTGGTGGGTGTATGACTTGATTTGGGGCTCAGCCATATGACTTGCTTTGACCAATGAGCTGCGACCAGAAACGTGAAATATGCTTTTGCATCTGGGCTCATACTCTTGCCACTTCAACCATAACCAGGAGAAGAGCTTCCCGCAGATAGCTGCTCCGCTTTAGCTGGGGCTCCAGCCCCATTCACAGTGAGAAGCCAATCCCAGCTGGACCTGTAGCCTGAGGCAAAGACCCAGAGGGGTCCAGCCTACAGTTGACCTGAAGATCCAGGAGCACAGGCATGAATGCCTATGGCTGTATGCCACTGAGTTTGGGGTGGTCTGTTACACAATATTATTGAGGCACTAGCTGATCAATACAAGAAAGATAATGCAAGTGTTTTTGCATCTTACAACACGTTTAAATAAATATTTAGGTGTTGGTTCTGAAGAAATAAAATTTCTGAGAACAAGAATCAAATTTCTAATAATTAGTTCTGAAAATAATAGTTTACCTTAAGTCAGTTCTTAAAAACAAATTTTGAGAGTCACTTTTGGCTGTTAGAATAGTTATTCTGGTTGTGTTATTTTAAGTTGCCTTTATAAATATTTTGAGCTGTATGAACCAAGGTGACAGGATCTAGATAACAGCTCAGGTAGATGGAAGAAATGAGGTAATCAAATTTACAATTTGTTGAATGTTAGTCCCTTAAAAAGAATTAACACTGTTTTTTAAAACCTACCTAAAGAGTCTAAAATATCCTTTATATCTGTAATTAGACAGTCCAATTTATAATTCTCTCGATGAATGGGAGCATCTGTTTCTCCATAGCCTCTCAAGTCCAACGCTACAACTCTATATTCACTTTTAAATTCCCTTAGTTGGTGACGCCAAGAATACCTGCAGGAAATAAGAAACGTTAAAAATACCACAGTAACTAATACAAAGAATAACATTACAGATTTTCTAAGTGGAAAGCTGTAAGAAACTCCTCGTTTTTGAGAAAGGTTATATGGCTGTGTGTGGGCAGGAAAGAAAAGAACTGTTTGAGAAATAAGCACTGACGTTCTTTATTAAAATTATATTATTTTTTTTTACCAGGTCCAGTGGGGTATAACAAAGGGCCAGGGTTTATAGAAACTACAAAATATCAGATACTAAAACCTTAAGAAATGTATTTAAGAAGTCAATTTTCTAAGCTTTTCTTAAATAATGCTCACCACTATCACTGAGTCTGTACCTATAAATGCTTCCGCATACTGCATCATTTGATTCTCTCAAAAAATTTGTGAGATGAAAATACATTTTCCTAGAAGGGAGATTTTACTCACCTTAGTCCACTGTCAAATAGGATTCAATGTTTTTAGTAATAACAATGGGTTACTCATGGATGAAAATGTCTGATGATTAAAAAAAATATTTTCACGGAAAGAATCCAATAAAACAACTACTTAAGATAAACCTCTGGGCTTCCCTGGTGGCGCAGTGGTTAAGAATCCACCTGCCTATGCAGGGGGCACAGGTTCGATCCCTGGCCTGGGAAGATCCCACATGCCACGGAGCAACTAAGCCCAGGCGCCACAACTACTGAGCCTGCGCTCTAGAGCCCATGCTCCACAACAAGAGAAGCCACAACAATGAGAAGCCCACACACCGCAATGAAGAGTGGCCCCCACTCGTCACAACTAGAGAAAGCCCGCTCACAGCAACGAAGACCCAACACAGCCAAAAATAAAAACAAACAAAAAAGATAAACCTCCACTTGCTAAAACAAAATCTTGGGGGGAAGATCCTGAACCATCAGCATAAGCTAGTGTGATATTTAAAACATTTAACAACCAAAATGGCACAGGAACTGACTAATTAGAATGGCCATAGTGACAGCCAAGTCCTAGAAGTTTCTGCTGGGCCAGGTGTTCCCCCTGTGCTTGATAATAAAACTGCAGAATTAATTGAAATACAGAGATCCATGAGATTATCTTCTTCTAATAAGCAAAATCATTATGGATAACAAACAGAAAAAGAGACATGGATTTTTCAAAGTGACTCACTATGTTATGGAACTCAAAATATGCATTTATCAAAAAGCATCTGCATGCACATCTGTCCATGAAAACACAGTGCAAAATTATCTGACACAAGCCAAATGGGAGATTGTTGTCTGGCAAGATTTTTGGAGCACAACAGGAAAGTGAACAGTGATCTGAGATTATAAACCAATAGTGCAAAGGGACTGCAGTGTGAAGTGACACAAAGCCATGAGAACAACGAAGCAAATCAACCACCTTACATCAGCAGGTAGATTATCAAGAAGGGTGTCAGATACATATTTGGAATTATGAATGGATGGAGTCTTCGATCTATTACTAGGATATCTATAATTTGTAAAAATCTGCAAAAGCACTGCCAATTAATATGGATTTGAAAATGTTAACAAAAAGTGTATTTCTTAGCAAGGCCATAGCAATATTGATAATCTTGTCTCTGGTTTGTAATAAACAAATGAAGCTGTTTCATTCCTTAAAGATACTCATCTGTCAACACATATGATTTTATTATTTTCTCATAGCCTTACTTAACATTGTGAATTGATTTTTTTATGTCTTCATAACTGAAGCCCAACTCTTCACTCTTTATAATCCCTCATACTCAATCAATAAAGTTCAGAAGATTTAACCTCTTAAATATTTATTTAATCACTTTTCCTGTCCATCCCTGCTATCATTACCTTCATTCAGGCCTCCATTAACACAGCAGCCTATCGATTGGTCTGTGTCCATTTCATTCCCCTTGGCTCTGTCTTCTACAAACCAGAGTGGTTTAGCAAAAACACAAACTCTTTCAGGTCATTTCCCAGCTTAACAGCTTTTCTTGACTCTCTGTTACTCATAAGGTGAAGCCCAAGCATGTTATTCTGGCAGACAAAACCTCCAAGATTTGACTTGCCTGATCTTCCAGCCTGACTGCTTTATACTCTGTCATTTGCTATATAATAAAAAGAACTAACATCTATATCAGTTTTACTACATGCCAGGCACAATTCTAAGTGCTTCACACATAGGGATGTTGATCTTCAAGGCAGTACTATGAAGTAGGTACTATTATTATACTCATTTTACAGATGAAGAAACAGAGGCACAGATTGGTTCCTGCATGTGCTGAAGGTCACAGATTTAGCAAACAGCAGAGCCAGGATTCAAACCCAGGTGGTCTGGCCTGAGAGCCCATGCTATGCTGCATCTGCGGCACTTATCTACTTGCAGTGAATAAACATGGGTTTTGTCTTTATGACTTTGTTTACGTAATTTCCTTGTCTGAAACATCATCCCTCCCCATCATTCCCCTACTACCCACAATCCCTGTCCCTCACCCCTCATTGAACTCCTCATGCTGGGCACCTCCTCTTCCAGGAGACTTCCCAGTCTCCCTCCTTCACAGGTGGGTTGGGTGGCCCCTTCCATACTCTCCCACTTGTCTGTACTCTCTTCAGTGCACTGGGAAGAGTGTACAGACAAGTGTACTAGATACTAGTCTGTTGGTGCCTGGCACTTCCATTTGATGGTGAGCTCCCTGAATTATCTGGTAGACATGTAGGTGCTCAATAGACATTTGTTGACTGAGTAAAACAATGAACAAATGAAAGCACTGAATTATGATAGTGCTAGAAATACCAGTTGTTCCATAAAACTCTTTTTCAGTTCAAACCTTGAGACGACCTTGAACTAAAGTTCCCAGATTCCTGTTGGGGAATGTATACTCAATTTCTATTAAAATGTGCATTGTTTTAATATCTTAAATACTTGTGTCTTCACTTAGAATTCATTTAATTAGAGATTTCAAGGTAGAAATTTGACTCAAAAAATGTGTACAATCCTGTAACATTTTACATTTAATGTATTAGAGATTATGCAAACATAATACCTGCACGTCATTATCTTATTAATAATTTAAATTGCCTTCCAAATAAATTCAGCTATTGCTATTGTCAATGAGTGGAGCCAAACAATATCTTAAACATTTCTAAGAATGTTTAAGGATTGCAACTGCTATCTTAATAAAGTACAAAATAAATTTTAAATGCAATCTTCCTAGAGTTCATAAATAAATCATATTTGATTTACACATTAACTGTAAACTGAAGAAATCACCCCAGAGATAGACTGATGGGTATGTCATTCACATGAATAAAACAAAACAAACCCCTTGATAGAGAAATGAAACATACTGCAAAATCAGTAACTCCTGACAATATTATAAATAAACAAATCTAGCTATTTTCATCCACATTGTTTATTCCCCCTCTGGTAGCTTTAGGTAATAGCAGAGGACACTTCAAAGAAAGCAACCTCTTTCTTAGTTATTATTCTTAACATAAGGAGGACCCCTGGTTTACCAGGCTAGCCTCTTTGAAATGTAGAATACCCTCTTCCCCTTCACAAGAGAGAAAAAGTTGCAGTCATCAGATTCTGCTCAGCTGTATGGATGACGAGCCTTCACTTGCCTCAGCATTTGAGTAATGACGAATGCATCCCACACAGCTGGTGTATTGCCAGAAATTGCCTGCATCAGCTCAAAATATTTTTAAAAGCAATGCAAATTGAGGTGGAGATAGAGGGGGAGAAAAATCATCTTTGACAAACGGCCTTATTTTGGGCTAATTTAGCTAAAGTTCTCATAGATGTGTATATTGTTTGATGTTTCCTTTATATTTTAAGAAAGAAGACAGAGAATTTTATTGTTTCTGTGTAACATCTAATAGTATGCATTAAATGTCACCAATTCTCAACAATTATTCTTAGTTAATGATGATAAATGCAAATAATACATTACATTTGTATAGTACTTTTCTGTTTAAAAAGCACTTTTACACACATTGCCAATTTATGATTATTTTGTTTTCACTGTACCAAATAATCTGACCTACCTGATCTACAAAGAAGCTTATAAATTCATGTGTATTTAGGCAAAACTTGATTGATAGAGGAATAATATTTATATTTATAATGTAAATTGAAATCGGTTTGAAGTGCCAGATAAAGTTTTTTTGGCTCTTAAAAAGGGGAGAAGTGCAAGAGAAGGGGTTTTTGGAAAAAGAAAAGGGAAAGTTCAAGAGAGAGAGAGAGACTTGAAGTGGCTTAATCAAAACAGCTTTATCCTAAATTCTGATTCAAATTGACTTTTTCCTGAATGGAGCACATGAATGGAATTGACTAGATTGTATAATGGGGAATAGTGGTAATTTGGAAGGAAAGACAGAGTAAGTGTCAACAGAGAGGTCTTGGTTTAGGGTAGGACACACTCAAATAGAAATTTTTGATTAACAGCAATCTCCATGTAGTTGCTCTAGGAATCTCCCTGAACAACCAGGTAGCTTTCAGATTAATGGCTAGCAAAGTTCAGTGAATTCAATATGGTCTATTTGAGTAACTCAGTTTTCAGGGTTTGCTGTTATTGTTGTTTTAAATTATAGCAAGCATCTTGCTGGAGTAACAAATAGTACATTTGGTGAACAGAAGGGGACTCATTCCCATGATCTGCATATATTTCCTAATATATGCTCTTCAAAGTAAAAATATCTCTAGGAGTTTTTTCAAAACTAAACCATTCCTCTCAATAACCCTTTTGGACAAAGCCAAGACTTGATTTTGCAGGAGAAAATGGGTCTGATGTCCAGTGACTAGTGTTGGGCCCCCTCCTAGGCTGTCCTATCCACTGAAGATTCTAGGACATGGACAAGAATCACCAGACATTTCTGTTTTGCAAAAGGGGTCTCATGAAGAGTAAATAATGGGACAATGCTGTGAAAAATGTGCAAAAGTATCATTTCTTAAAATATGACACAGAGTACCTACTGTCCTATATTAAATGGGTATCACTGCTATTTTCTGGGGCTTCTCAAAACAATTACCAAGTGGCTGAAGTGGTTGCAGGTTCATCTTTATCTTCCACATATAAAGAAGTGACGTTCCAGGAGGAAAAAGAGCACGGACAAGTATCGGGGTTAGTATGAGGTACAGAAAGAGAAGAGCCTTTAAATCTTTTCTTTCTAAAAAGTTAACTCTCCCCACTCATATCATGCATTTTATATAGACTGATGATTTAAAATGTTAAAGTAAGGTATACTTACATTGTTGGTTAACTTTTGAATTTTTCTATAAGGTGTGAAATTTGAAAGGTAAAAATCCATGTATGTTATTAGATCATTATCATTCCTATATACCAAGGATATATTAGAGCAGAGGTCAGCTCTGAAGTTTAAGAAGGTATACCTTACTTTCTGGCACTGCCAATTTCAGAAGGGTAGCTGTGACACTCAGAAGAGTGCCGGGCACATAGTAAATGCTCAGGAAGTATTAACTATCATCAGCAGAATCAGGAAATTATTTTTTAAAGGTCTGGGACAATGCTCTGTCCCCAAATTTGTCCCTTACTTTCACTCTTAACAACCTGCAGTTCCACCATTACATATTCCTCACCTACTTCAGAGTTTTAAAGATTTTGTGTCATCCAAAGCCCTGATTTAAAAAGCCTCTAGCTCTGAAAGAGGTATTACCTTAATACACTTTAGTAATACTTTATGAGTGAAAGGGACTTTATTAATAAATGCACTGAGGATGCTAGTGGTGGCACATGGATCTCCACACTGAGTGAATGGGAATGAAGGAAGAAAATGAACATTTATTGAGTATTCACTGGGGCCATGGGAACGGCCTTTCACATATTTTGACTCCCTTTATCCCCACAACTCTGCAAGATTCTTGTAGATTGTGCAGGGTCCTGCAGCAATTAAGTGGCTGAGCCAGAATTCACTGCCCATGTTACTTTATGCAGATTTGACTAACGCTGCAGACTAACATTTTACTTGTGAGCCAATCATGTCATAGACTTTTTGCTCTGGGAAAATGATTAGCTAGATGGGTTTTTGCCATTCTCCATTCTTTTCTTCAATGCCTAATACTTCCTAGTGCGCTAGCAATCTCAATGCATTTATTAATAAAGTCCCTTTCATTTGAAAAGTATTAACTAAAGTGTATTAAGGTAATATCTCTTTCACAGCTAGACGTATTTTAAATTAGGACTTTGGATGACCCAAAATCTTTAAAACTCTAAAGCAAGTGAGGAATATGTAATGGTGGAATTCTAGGTGTTAAGAACAAAAGTAAGGGAGACATTTAGGGACAAGGCATTGTCCCAGAACTTTAAAAACATACCATATATTCTACATTTGAGTCAGTTCAGAGAATATGATTTTTTTTTTTTGGTCCGTTTAGCCATCTCAAGATCATAGCCTTGAGCTATCAAAAATATGATTTTCTTTTTACCACCTTGATATGTACCATCTTTTAAAAAGATATTCATTTTTTTAAAGTTTAATCATGTGATGTTTCATCTGTACTTACTTGGCTCTGTGGGGTTCAAAGGAGAACAGAACATTTTCTTCTAGGTAACTAGCAACTGTGTATTTTTGGCTATAGGTTTTCTTCTCAACGTGAAATATTCCAGTCCTTAATTTGTCCTGCATTCATCTGAGCCTGTTACTATGTGCAGAGGAAAGAGTTCCTTTTCAGATTCCATGAGCCCTCTTCTCCCTCTGCCTTTCCCTCACCCCAAGTCTCACCAAAAGCTGCCAGGTAACAGGCACTCTGATTCTTTGTTTTCTTGCAAATCTCCTTTTCTATCCAATGTTGTATTTTGTCCACAGTAGGTACTATAAAAACTGTTTTGTAATTGACTATTCAGAAATTTGAAACACTAAATGATACTTCTTTTAATTATCAAAAAAAAAATTTAGGATGATAATATGCACGTTTCTTTAAAACAGGAGGAACACCATTCCTGTGATTGAGGAACATTTAAGAATAATAACTCTAGGCCAGTACTTGATCATAGCATGGGGTCTATTAAAAGTCATTATAAGAAAATGACTCTATGATAAGCCGAGTCTTTAGTGCAAAAGAAAAAGTTAGTTGGTAAGTTTACCAGAATTCTGGAAATCCATGAAGCAGCAGCATAAGTGGTTTGCCTCTTTCTCCAGCGGCAACATAATGAAATCTTAACCCCGAATCCTGCAGTGCGAAATAGAGGGCATGAAATTTCAGCGATGTTTTGTGTTGACTGTAAAAAGTAGTACATTTAGTATTTCCATGCCGTTAAAAAAATTTCACTTGCATTATTTTTAATATAAAGAAATAAAATAAGTATATTAATTTTCAAAAAGAAAAAATAACCATGATTTATTAACAGGGTAAATTGAAAGATTCACTTTTGTCAACATTTCCTTCTCCTTCTATTTACAAGGTCAATTTATATATTATGAGCTTCTGAAACAGTCACAATTTTCTTACTGATGTGTCACATTTCATCGCACTCAAATTCTGCAGAACATGTAAATAATTCTGATCTGCATTTATATTCCTGCCATATTTACCTCCTACTCATGTACTTTTCTCAGCTTGCCCATCAAGAGCTGTGCCATCAGTTACATAATTCACACCACCTTTCCTTATTTTTAGTTCTCTCCTTCCCACGTTAGTATTTTCTGTTGAGGTTGCACGTACAGTTCCCCTGGCTGCCTGTTCCTCATGTCAATCAGTGTATTTCTTTTATTTTTTTAAAATTTATTTTATTTATTTATTTATTTTTGGCGGTGTTGGGTCTTCGTTGCCATGCGCTGGCTTCTCATGGTGGTGGCTTCTCTTGTTTCGGAGCATGGGCTCTAGGCGCATGGGCTTCAGTAGTTGCGGCATGTAGGCTCAGTAGTTGTGGCACACGGGCTTAGCTGCTCCGTGGTTGTGGGATCTTCCCGGACCAGGGATGGAACCCGTGTGCCCTGCAATGGCAGGCGGATTCTCAACCACTGCGCCACCAGGGAAGCCCCCATATCAGTGTATTTCTAACAGCCGAATGATCTGAGTGCTCAAGCCTTCACTCTGCATATGGGAGACAAAACTGCCCAAGGAAAACAAAAATCATGGGAATGAGACAGGAATACAGCAAATATAAAACAAACAGAAAAGAGGAAAGTGGAGGAAAAAGCAAGAAAGAAAAACAAAAACTCAGAAGGAAGTGAGGAAAGAAACCAAGACCCAAAACCCAGAGACTGGGTTTTTTTTATCAGATAACCCAAGCAATTGGGTTTCCAGATGTGAAAAAAATCTTAAAGGTCATATAGTTCAACCCTATCATTTTTGCAGAGTTAGAAACTGAGGTCCAAAGATGTTAGCACAGGTCGTAAAGGTGGTTGGGGGCAGGGCTATGACTAGAACCTCCATCTTGTCCTGCCACCCAGGACAATGCTCTTTCCACTCCTTGGTTCTATATCTCTGGGGAAACTCTTTAGGTGGCCAGAGTCAGAAAAAGTGTATTATGAGGAATTCCAGATGATTCTTAAACTGCTTTTCCCCTTCAGGAAGGATGAAGATAACAACTCTGACTTTGCCTGCAACTGCTTTTCCTTTTTTTAAAAGTATTTATTTTATTTATTTACTTTTGGCTGTGTTGGGTCTTTATTGCTGCGCACGGGCTTTCTCTGGTTGTGGTGAGCAGGGGCTACTCTTCTGTGCAGTGTGTGGGCTTTCTCTGGTTGCAGTGCGCGGGCTTCCCATTGTGGTGGCTTCTCTTGTTGCAGAGCACAGGCTCTAGGTGCAGGGGCTTCAGTAGTTGTGGCTCAGGGGTTCTAGAGCGCAGGCTCAGTAGTTGTGGCGCACGGGCTTAGTTGCTCTGTGGCATGTGGGACCTTTCTGGACCAGGGATTGAACCCGTGTCCCCTGCATTGGCAGGCGGATTTTTAACCACTGCACTACCAGGGAAGCCCTGCCCTCCACTGCTGAATGCCTTCCCAGAAGTTCAATAACTTCTTTTATTGGTGGTGAGTCTTGGAAGCTGAAAGGCTGTGGGCACTTGATTGGATTTAGTGAATAAATACTTCATTTCACTTACTATGTGCGAGGCACTGTTCTAAGTTTTTTGGTTTCGTTTATTTGTTTTTACACATATTAACTCATTTAAATTCTCATATCAACTCCAGGCTGAATAACTGTAAGAAAGACATGCCCCTTGGTTTTCTGAACTTCAGCTGCTGGGCAATCTAGTTCCTAATAGGAATCCCAGACCTGGTGACAAAAATATCCTTTCACATAGGCTATTTTTGAAAGGCCTGCGAGTCAGACTGCAGAGTGCATTTCAAGAAGCCATCTCCCTTCACCACCTGGAGCCTCAGGAAATAGAATATCCGAGGGTTGTAAGAAAGCTTGGGACAAGCATGGACAATTAGAGTCTGCATGCATAGTTGGCATTTACTTTTTGTGCCATTCCTTTGGTCTCTGGCACCATAAGTCTGCTTCCTTCCCCACAAACGTACACAATTTATTTATTGTTTCATGTTGCTTAGGTCATCTGTGAATGCTCCATTCTGCTGATCTGAATAAACTCCTGATTTCCAAAGACTTATTCTATTTACTCTTTCAATCTCTAAAATTTGGACGAGGACAGCCCCCTGAGACAGTAGGGCGCCACCAGTAACAATTCCCTACAGCTTATCTGAGCTCTAAAGGGCAAAGAGGTGACAGACGACAGCTTCCCCTTACAGGAGGAGAGAGAACAGAATTATTCTGGGTTGTTGTGGTGGAGGAGGAGGGGACAGTAATATAATAGGACCCAGATTATTAGAGAAATTCCACATAACCTTCTCTCTCTGTCTTACACACACACACACACACACACACACACACACACACACACGCACGCAACAAACAGGGGCCGTAAAGACACACAATCCCGACCCTCTCCCGCGACACCTCGCCCCTCTTGCATCCCCTTGGCACCTTCCCCGTCCCCGCCGCACGCCCTGCGAGCCCCGAGAACACTAGGGGACGCTGGGCCTGGAGTCATGCAAGGATCAGCCCGGCGCCCTCTGCTCTCACAGTCGTCACGTTCCCTCGCGATAGCGCCGGGCCCGCGCCGGCCTTCACCTTGATCCGCACGTAGCAGTGGGTACCCAAAGAGGGGTCGTTCAAGCACGCTGGAGGGTGTTCCCGGGCGACCCTCCGGAAGGTCTGCGTGGGTCCCTTGCCGATGCTCCACAAAAGTTTGAGCAGGTAGACGGAAGCGCAGAGCCCGCAGTAGCAGTAGACCAGGGACCAGAAGAGCAGGGACCGGATCATGACCATCAGGCGGGGGAGGCAATCCCGCAGCCTCGCCATCTGGCGGCGGCAACGGCGGGGTCCGCTGCACTTCCGAGGCGCGGGGAGCAGCGGCGAGCACTTCGGCTACGGAGCGAGACTGCAAGCGCGGCGGCGCGTCAGCCCAGCCAGCCGGTCCGCGGTTGCCGGCTCCGCGCGCGCCTCCCCGCGGGCCCCCGGGCGTCCGTGCCTGGCGCGGGTCCGGTGTCACAGCCCCGGGCTCCCGCACTCACGGTGAGCTCTTGCGACCACTGCGCCCAGTTGCGGAGCGCCGCCCCGCAGACCCACTGCGCTGCGACGTCCGCCCCGGACTAGGTAGGCAAGGGTGGAGACCTGGCCTTCCTCCGCAGAGTAAAATCCCATTTCAGAATTGCTAAAATGTGGGGAAAATGAAGGTGAAACTTTCCCAAATCATCCTAGGTACTGTGGACGGAAGAGCCACTCATTTTGACCAGTGTTCAAATCCTCCCATTGTCCTCAATTAGGCCTTTTTCTGGATCATGGAATTATGGGGCGCGTGGAGGAGGAGCAGTAAACGATTTTCATACTACCTGACAGACATTATTTCTTTATTCATTCCAAACAATCATCTGAAGGTGTTGATATTCTCCAACTAGATTCAGAGTCGTTATATGCCCAGACAGGTGTTTGGTTCTAAAGTCAAGCCTCTGGAAATCCCTGGTCTTTTTTCTGTTCCTCTGAGTTTTTCCTTTACAAGAATACTGTATAAATAGAATCATGTAGTATGCAACCTCTTGTTTCTGGCTTCTGTCGCTTAGCATAATGCATCTGAGATTCAACTACACTGTTACATATATTGTTTCTTTTTTATTGCTTATAAGTGTTTTGTTGGATGGATGTACCATCATTGTTTATGGAACAGTCCCCAGTTGAGGGACATTTTAGTTTTCTCCCCAGTTTTTGGTGGTTCTGAATAAAGTGACTCATGTAAAGTTTTTGGTTCGAACTTAAGTTTTCATTTCACTTGGGTCAACGCTTAGAAGTGGGATTGCTGGGTCAGGTCGTTAAGTGTGCATTTAGCTTTATAGGAAACTGCCAAACTGGTTTCCAAAGTGGCTGCAATTTTAATTCACACTAGCAATGTGTGAGAGTTATGGTTAGGTCATATTCTTGAAAGCACTTAGTATTGTCAAAAAAAAAAAAAAAAATCCCGAATTTAGCCATTCTAAGAGTTGTGTAGTGTGGTATCTCATTGAAATTTAAATTTGCATTTCTCTAATGATAATAATGTTGGGCATCTTTATGTACTTGTGTGCCACTTGAATATATTCTTCTTTGACAAAGAAGCTGTTCAAATCTTTTACAGATTTAAAAAAAAATTGGGTTGCTTATTTTCTTACTATTGAGTTTGAAAGTTCTTTATATATTTTGGATATGAATCCTTTATCACACATCATGTGTTTTGCAAATATTTTCCCAGTCTGTCTTTTCTTTTCATTTTTAGGGACTTCTGAAGAGCAGAATTCCTTAATTTTGATATTATCCAATTTATCACTTTTCTTTTATACGTGGTACTTTTGGTCTTGCATGTAAGAAATCTTTACCTAACTTCAGGTCAACAAGGGTTTTTTTCCCCGTATGTTTTCTTCTAGAAGTTTTATCATTTCATGTTTTATATTTAGGTCTTCGAGTTAATTTTTGCATAAGATGCAAAGTATGGGTTGACATTTATGTTTTCCATGTGGATATCCAATTATTTTGGTATCATTTGTTGAAAAGAATATTCTTCCTCTATTGAACTGCCTTTGCACCTTCATTGAAAGTCGCTTGACATGTGGGACTATTTTTGGACCCTCTAGTCTGTTTCATTGATCTATACGTCTATATTTTCTCCAATACACACTTTTTTTTTTTTTTTCGGCTGCACTGTGCAGCATGCGGATCTTAGTTCCCCAGCATTGCGCCCCCTGCATTGGGAGTGTGGAGTCTTTTTTTTTTAAGGTTTTTTTTTTTTTTTTGGCTGCGTTGGGTCTTCCTTGCTGTGCGGGGGCTTTCTCTAGTTGCTGCGAGCAGGGGCTACTCTTCATAGCGGTGCACGTGCTTCTCATTGTGGTGGCTTCTCTTGTTGGGGAGCGCAGGCTCCAGGTGTGCCAGCTTCAGTAGTTGCGGTGCACAGGCTTAGCTGCTCAGCGGCATGTGGGATCTTCCTGGACCAGCAATCGAACCCGTGTCCCCTGCATTGGCAGGCGGATTCTTAACCACTGAGCAGCGCCACAGGGAAGTCTGAGTGCAGAGTCTTAACCACTGTACCTGCAGGGAAGTTCTAATACACACTTGTCATGACTGTTGAAAGTATAGTCAATCTAGAACTCAGGTGGTATGAGTCCTTCAAATTTGTTCTTCTTTATCAAAATTGTTTTGGCTATTCTAGTTAATTTTCCATACAGATTTTAGTATTAGCTTGTCAATTTTGGCAAAAATTGTTGATTGGAATGAATTGAATCTATTAATCAATTTTGAGAGAACTGATATTTTAACAATATTGAGTTGTTCAATCCATGAACATATCTATCCATTTATTTAGATCTTCTTTGATTTATCAGTTTTTCATAGTTTTAAACATATGGATGTTGCATGTATTTTGTAAGATATATACCTAAGTATTTCTTTAAAAAATATTATTGTAAATGCTATTTTTCAGTTTCCAGTTGCTTGCTGATTCTAGTGCTTACATGATTTTTTTTTGTTTTATGTCTCAAATCCTGAGACCTTGCTAAACTCACTTTTTAGTGCTGGTAGCTTTTTGAAAAATTCTTTGGGATTTTCTGTGTAGACCATCGTGTTATCTGTGAATAGAGGCAGTTTTATTTCTTCCTTTCCAATATGTTTGCCCTTTATTTCTTTTTCTTCCCTTATTGCACTGACTAGGACCTCCAGTACAACACTGAGTAGGAGTTAGAATGGGCATCTTTACCTTGATCCCAATCATAGGGGGAAATCATTTAGTCTTTTACTATTAAGCATAATATTAGCTGAAGATTCTTTTCTTCTGAGCCACACAGCTTGCAGGATCTTAGTTCCCTGACCAGGGATTGAGCATGCATGCTCGGCAGTGAAAGCAGGGAGTCCTAACCACTAGACCACCAGGGAATTCCCTGAAGATTTTTTTAGGTGTCATTTATCATATTGAGGAAGGTCCTTTTTATTTCTAGCTTCTGAGAGTTTTTTTTTTTTTTCACAAATGGGGGTTGAATTTTCTAAAAGGGCTTTCTGCTTCTCTTGAGATAATCACAGTTTTTCCTTTTTAACCTACTGATATGGTTAATTACATATAAATTTTTTGAATGTTGAACCAGCCTTTCATTCCCAGAATAAACCCCAATTGATCATGAAGTAGTGTGTTTTTTGTTTTTTTTGTTTTGTTTTGTTTTTGTTTTTTTTTGCGGTACGCGGGCCTCTCACCGCTGTGGCCTCTCCCGTTGCGGAGCGCAGGCTCCGGACGCGCAGCCTCAGCGGCCGTGGCTCACGGGCCCAGCAGCTCCGCGGCACGCGGGATCCTCCCGGACTGGGGCAGGAACCCGCGTCCCCTGCATCGGCAGGCGGACTCTCAACCACCGTGCCACCAGGGAAGCCCGAAGTAGTGTGTTTTTAATATATTGCTGAAATCAATTTGCTAATATTTGGTTGATTTTTGCATTTATATTTGTTCTTCTTATATATTATGGAAGAATTTATATAGACTTGGTATAATTTGTTTCTTAAATGTTAGGTAGAATTCTCCAAAAAAGCTATGTATGCCTGAGTTGTTTTTTTTTTTTTTTTAATGGTTCTAAAATACAATTCAATTTACTTAATATTTGTAGGATTATTCAGGTGATCTGTTTCCTCTTTGGCAGTTTGTATTTTTTAAGAATTTTATCCATTTCATATGTCGTTGAATCTATGGCCATAGAATTTTTCATAACATGCCCTTATTATCTCTTGAATGTCTGTGGATCTGTAATATTCTCCCTTTCACACCTGACATATGTAATTTGTGTCTTCTCTTTTTTCTTAGTAGGTCTGTCTAGAGGGCTTATCAATTTTATTGTCTTTTTTAAAAAAGAAACAGCTTTGGTTTTATTGATTTTTTTCTCTATTTTTTATTTTGTTTTAATGAAAATTAATTTCATTTAAGTTTAAATGATATCTGATCTTTATTATGTCCTGTCTTCTGCTTGATTTAGATTTAATTTGCTTTCTCTAGTTTCTTAAGGTAGAAGCTTAAATGACTGATTTGAGATCTTCCTTCTGTTTTAATATAAACACTGAGTGCTAAAAATTTTCCTCTAAATATTACCACTTCACTGCATCCCACAAATTTTAATGTGTTGCATTTTCGTTTTCATACAATTCAAAATATTTTCTAATTTTTATTGTGATTTCCTCTTTTATCATGGGTTATTTAGAAATGCTTAATTTCCAAATATTTTGCAGATATATTTTTATTATTAGTTTCTACTTTAAATCTGGTATGGAATCTTATAAACTACCTATTCTTTTAAACTTGTCAAGGTTTGCTTTATGTCCCTAAATACGGTCTATTTGGTGAACGTTCCAGCTGCATTTGAAAAGTGTATTCTGCTGTTGTTAGCTAGAGTGTGGCATTAATGTCAATTAGGTAAAGATGGTTAGCAATGTTGTTCAGGACTATTAGATCTTTACTTTCCGCCGACTCATTCTATCAGTTGCTGAAAGAAGAATGGTGAAATCTGTCTGTAATGGTGGATTTGCCTATTTCTCTTTTTAGATCTATCAAAGCTACTGTTTTTGCTTTAGCCAGTTATCTTTTTTTTTTTTTCTTTTCCTTTGGCCACACCGCGTGGCTTGTGGGATCTTAGTTACCCGACCAGGGATTGAACCCAGGCCCTTGGCATTGAGAGCACAGAGTCCTAATCACTGGACTGCCAGGGAATTCCCCTTTAGCCAGTTATCTTTGGGAGCATTTATAAATAATAAAAAATGAGTTTTATAATTACCTCCATTTATGCCATATCTAGTGTTCTTTATTCATTGTATAGATACAAGTTTCTCACTGGAATCACATCCCTTCTACCAGAAGAACTTCCTTTAACAT